CTGGGAAACCCCAGTCATCTCACCCATAATCTGAAACTCACCTTGATCCTACTGGGGAGAATCTCTAATGAATTGGGTTGAGAAATGACTGCAGGTGGCAGGCACCATCCAACATTGATTGACATGGTGTTTATGGACATAAGGTTTCTTACCAAGAGGTCCCGGGTCAGGCAAACATCTCAGCCCTCACCGATACTTACATCTCCCAGCCCATGATCCTGAGTCAAGATTTCCTTCTCTATCCTCTTCCTCCCTACACCCCAAGTCTTGTCTGCACTTTGTCTTTATGTTCTCCTTTCTTTACCCAGTCATACTTTGATCCCTCATTTTGGAGGGTGGGGAGGCATTCTGGTTACACATCAAATATAGAAAGGGGGGCTGCTATTATCAAAGCTTAACCTACCCAAAGCTAAGGGGCTGTGGGCAAAGAAAGTGTTTATTTTTCATGTGTTGAAAGCTGAGGAACGGGGGACGGAGGCACATGAGTTTTTTTACTATGAAATATTTCAGGCCAAATGAAACATGTAGAGAATCATGTTGGAAGAACATCTATCTACCAGTCAGCTTCTCAAATCTTAGTTTTTGTCATATCTGCTTCTGATGTTTTAAAGAAAAGAACCACTACAGACAGTTGAGATCTTCTAGGTACTTCTCCCCACTGTCACTCCTCTCCTTCTAGTCTTTACCCTACACCCTATGCCTGGTTGTACTCACATTTTTACCTCATTTGTACATATTCCTAAACAACAGACAGTTCTGTTTTTACAGGCTTTAAAACTTTATATAAAGGCCTCCCTGGTGGCGCAAGGGGTTAAGCACTGTACTATGAAGCAATATGCATCCTCTGCAGCACGAGTTCAATGCCCGGCCGGCCAGTGAGCAACCCACATGGTGCAGCAGACCTCTCCTGACTTGCCCACTGCTCCCCTCAGCAGTGTAATTCAGTCAGTCTGCCTGTTCTGTTCCCTGCTCTGTCTCTGGTGAATCCTCTCACCCCCTGCATCTCTGGCCTGTACCCCAGCTCTTGTATGTATAAATAAATAAATCTTTAAAAAAAAAACTTTATATAAACTTTTAAAAAACTTTATTTAAACTGATTATTCCAAATATATACTTCTGTACTTCTGATCTTCTTTGTTCAATATGGGTTTTTGGATTTATTGATCTTACGTGTTGCTAATGATGGGGATGCACTTTGAGAATTGCACTGTTAGGTATTTCTTCACTGTGACACCATCACAGAGTGTGACCACACAAACCTAGATGGCACAACCTAGTCCACAACTAGAGTTTAAGGAATAGTCTATTGGGGCCACCATTATATACGTGGTCCCTCATTCACCAAAACATGGTTAAGTGATGCAAAACTGCAGCTCTACTTGATTCATTTTTAACTACAATGTAGTATTCCATTATGCAAATACACTCAATGTTTTTCCATCTCCCATCCAAATGACCTTTAGAATATTTCCAATTTTTCATACATCAATGTTGCAATATACATGCTTTATTATGTCTCCTTGTGACCAATATATTTAGCTTTTTTCTACCATTGCATTTTGTACTTTTTATTCCTTTATTTCTGCACTTTTTTTGGTCCTTTGTCTGTCTGGATTTAATAGATTTTCTTTACTCCATTTCCCTGCTTTACTGATTTCCTCTATTTCTATTTGTTATTACTATTATTCAAGACACAATTTTAGACTTAAAGACTGCTGGTAGTTCCCCAGCATCTGTTCTCTCCTTCTCTCATATAAATAGAACCTCCAACTTTTCACAGAGCACATGGTTATCCAGAATAAAGACTACACTTTCCAATCTTCCTACAAGCTAGATATAACCATGGTAATAAGTCTGGACCAAAGTGATATGAGCAGAAGGAACGACAATAACCCTGGGGTCATGCCCTTTGAGGGAAGGGGCTGGAATGTGGACATGTGAGTGAACCATCCTCAATATACAGAACTAGACTGCTTATGTCTACAATGTCACATGAAAAGGAAACAACCATCTGACTGGTTTAAGTCACTGTTATTTTGGGTTCTTTCTTACAGCAGGCAGACACCAATCTTGCTAATACTGTAGGCATGGATTTTTAAAAATTGTATCCTGCTTTTGCTCATTCTGCTTCCTTTATATATTTCATCAAGTTTGGAAGCTTTGAAGTCAATATCCTTCTAAGTAATGTCTCTACATTCTCTTCTCCACTGCTGGAATCTTATTTAATATACATATGACCTTGTCATTCTAAGATCCATGTACATTCCTGGGCCCCACCCCAGCCCGGATCCAAGTGTTCTGCTGCTCACTGTCTGCATGTTGAACAAACTCCCAGAAATTGGTTTCATACACTATAAAATTCGAGAACCTTGCCTGAGGCTATGGTAATGGGAGAGGTGTTCGAGGGAAGTCAGTCTCTGTGACTCGATCTTTCTGTACTGTGCTCTGGACAATTTCCTCAGATCTATTTTTCCATTATTCAGGTCTGTCTTCAGTGGTACCTAATCCAATGTTCAATTTATCCACAGAATATTTTTTTTTTAATCCACGGAATATTTAATTTCAATGAAAATATTTTTCACTTCTAGAAGTTCTATTTGACTGTTTTTCAAGTCTGCCTGGTTTTGTTGGATAGGATTTTGTTCTTGTCTCATGTTTTGAATTACTGTGCTACATCTTCAATAGTTTTCAACTCATTTAAAAAAAGGTTTATTAATTTATGCATACAAGAAATGGGGTATAGGCCAGAGGTGCAGGGTGGGGTGGGGGGAATGTGTGAAAGGATTCAATTCATTTTTTAATAGCATCTTGCCTAATAGTTGCTTAACTAGAAGTTCTGGGGCGGGGGTGGGGGAGTCTGGTCCAGGTGTTTGTCATATATGTAGACTCTCACTCACTATAGATTATTTGCTCAAATATTAGTCATTCTGGATCATAGATTCAACTTTACTAAGGTTTCCCTACCCTCCTCCCCATAACCCCTCCCCCACCCCACCCCTACCTCCCAGGGATTTTGTGTGATCTGGGCTGAGGTCTTGTTTTCAGAGAGATTCCAAGAATTCAGGTTTCCTACCAATACCACTGGTCCAGAACTTAAGGCTTAAGCTACACAGATAATATAAATTCTAATGCTAAACCAGTATTATCATCAAGTTCTCAGGGAACAATTTTCTTTTTTTTTTTTTTTTAATTTTACTTTTTCTGCCCAGATCTTGGTTAAAGGTGAGAAGCTGTTCCGTCATCTCCCTGTGCTAGTGGATGACTTTCTTTACCTTTTCTGTCTACTTTGTATTTAAAGTAAAGCCCTTACATGGAAGTCTCAGTTTCAGCTCCAACCTCCACTGGCGAGACCTCATCTGTCTCCACAGATGTCATAACTCAAACCTCAAACCCTTCATGACTAAGGGGAACTACACACCCCAACCCACTCAGCTGCAGAGCTGAGTCCCACCCAGTGTTTCCTTTGTTTTGTCCCCAGAGATTTGGAATCTTCTTACTTTTTTTCAGGGCATAGATCTGCACTTAGAAGGATATTTTAACTATTTACTCCAGCATTTCTATGTGTATCATCGTGGTACTCTTTCAGGTAATTTGTTATCCATATTAACAGAAACAGAAGTCTCCTGTGTTTTAGACCAGCTGACTGCGTCAATCCCTTCCTTCCCTCGGACACCTCTCCCATTACCATAGCCTCAGGCAAGGTTCTCAAATTTTTATAGTGTATGAAACCAATTTCTGGGAGTTTGTTCAACATGCAGACTGTGAGCAGCAGAACACTTGGATCAGGAGGACTGGTGTGGGGCCCAGGAATGTACATGCTTAACAAGCACTGCAGATTTCCAGCATAGGTGGTCCCAGGACCACCCTTTGAGAAGCGCTCTGTAAGGCCTGCTTTCCTTGCCCTGCATTTGCCCAGGTATTAGCAGCACCTGAACCACATCCATAGGAACCCTGACAGTGTCTTTTTTGCCAAGTCTGAAGGCGGAGACAAAAATGGAAATAGATCCAAAGTTCAGGAGATCTAGCCCAGGCTACTCCACACCCCTCCACTCTGGAAATGCAGAGGTGACGCCAAACCTTGTCTTCCTGGACTCCAGGTTGTGGGGTTATCAATAAAACAGGTCACTTATTCAGGCTTTACTAATTGAGACTTTTGACATTTCTTAGAGAGGGCTAGACTGAAGCTTATTTTTGTATTATGAAAGGTTTTCTAAGCAGACAGATGCAACAACAGAAGTAGAGAGAAACTGGTTGATTCACTTAAGATATAGATTTTTTTAATGTAGGTCTCACTGTCTAGATGGGTTATGCTCCAAAATGCCTATGAAATTCAGCCACTTGGAATGTATCTTCCCACAGAAATATTACCAGTGGTGGTTTTCCCAGACCAGCCCATCCAAGCCCATAAAGATTAAAATTGTTCCCATTTAATACCTGTTTTATGCCAGGACTCTATATATGTGATCTGATATAATTATCAAAACACTCTGAAAGGTAGACATTTGTGCCCTTGCCTTAAAATGCTCAGGGTCACGCAGCTAGTAAGTGATAGCCAGGTGGGCCTGGCTGCAAAACCTGTGTCCTTGTTCCCAGGAAACTAGGCCGCTTTCCGTAGCTCAAATCCTTGATCAAGGGTGAGGGGTAGGGCAGGGATTTCATTTGTCTCTCCTAAATATCCCCCTCCCCCACATTGGGGAAGAAATGTTAAGGGAGTAACAGACTCTCCACTGCAGCTACTCAACAGATAAGGGAGGCACCAAAATGTGCTTCATTTCTTTAGTGTGTCCCATGAACAGCAGGAAGCAGGGAAGAACACAAGATGACAGCTTAGTAACTGCCTTGATTCTGGTCTTACAAAGAAAACCAACTTGCTTGCCTTTCCCTTAGCATGTGTAGGCAGTTTTTTTGCATGCATTGAAAGTTCACCTTCCCCAATGCTGGCCCTCTCTGCCATAGAACTCTGCAGGGAGACTGGCAGCTACCTGCTCTCCAGGACCCACCTTGTCAGCCAGCAGCTCCCTTATCTTGCTGGCTTGTAGGCGGAACCGGAAAAGCTGGGTTTCCAGGGCCAGGCACCGCTTCTGCCAATCCACGCTGCTCCGGGTCTCCACCTTGAGCTCTGCCATGATGGCGTCAATGTCAGGATATCCCAGGGAGCACTGAGAACCAGCACACAGAGAGAGGAAAAGATAAATAAGTGTGCCAGGAGGAGTCATGTGGGGAAAGGAGGAGGAGGAGACCATGGGGGACAGAGAAAACAGGACTGGGGAAGCAAGTTAGTCATTGCTCTCCCTCTGCCCGATTGTTCTGTCCACGATAGGTTAGCTGAGCAGCCTCAGGAAATCATTGAGAAGAGGTAAGGGAAAGCTAGTCTCATTTTCACAGAAGTGAAAGCAGGACTCTTTTGTTTTTCATTCAATTATATACTTAACAAATATTCGTCCATTCAACATTTATGTGCCAGATGCTGTTCTAGGCACTAGATATGCGAAGGCCAGTAAGAAGGGCCCCATATTTTTGAGCAATTCAATAGTCTAATGGCAAAACTACAATGCAGTCACAATTGCTAGTCTATGTGCAACTAAATGGGAGCAGGGAAAGGGGGGACCAACTTATCAGAGTTCCACAGCTAGAGTAGTGGGGCTGGGATTCTCATTCCAAAGTCTCATTCCACAGTGCTCCTCACCTATCCGAAAAGTAGAAGGAATTCTGATTTCACAAAGAGTGTTATGGACTGTTAAGCATGAGAGAAATATTTTAAAGGACCTTCCAAGAAGCCTCGGGGCTAAGGCGAACCTATAGCCCAGATTTTCCAAAGCTTCCTGGTCTCTGACATTCTGACACCATAACCTCCATGAGCACAGATATTTATCATGTGGCCCAACTTTTTGTTTAAAAAACAGGGCCAGTAAACCTGTAGAGAAAGACCCAACAATTAAACTACTGATGGGATTGGTGTCTGAGTCTGTCAGTTCTGGGCCGCTCAGAACACGGACACATGACCTCAGCCCCACTCCCTTGGAACAGTCATCTCAAACAATCCCCACACTGTAGCCTCCCGGCCGTCCCCACCTCAAAGGACTGGGACCAACTGGAACGGGCAGGAAGACAAAAGACAAAAACAAAACATGACCTTCTGTTAGTTAAGATCAGGCCTGAAAAGACAAAATAGAACCTTGTAGGGCCTCCAGAAAAGGCCGGGAGGCTTCATATTTGGTTTGCTTTGTCTTTTAAGGGGATAAAGCTTTTCCTCATAAAAGTGAAAAAAAGCAGGGGGAGGGGGCAGATCTGAAACTGGGACCTGAGAGTCTTGCAACCTAGCCCAGGGCTAAGAATTAGCAGTAAAAGCACCCAAGTATAACCAAAGGGCAGGGGAAACTTAATCCTTTTGTGTCTTGGAAGTTTGGTGAATTTTAATTCCCTTTTATTGATAGTTAAAGCTCAGGCTCAGATTCCTGGGGGAGAGTAGAAACCCAAATTATTAAAATCTCCAGGGATTTTGGAAATATAATACGTCACTGGCCTTGCCTAGTCCTGACATCTGAGAGTATACCTAAACTGTGTTCTCCCCAGTCAAGCACCTTCATGACATCATGGTTTTGAACAGATCAAGTGCTCTGTTTAATCCTCTCCCTGCCTTGGGGATGCTGGCGAGGGGGTGGGCCCTCGTGCTGGGCCTGTCTCAGCATGCAGGAGACCTAAGAGGTTTCGAAGGGATCTGGAGCAAGGGCCTGCTGCCAAGCCAAGCCCAGAGGCTCTTCCGACAGAAGCAGGTGGTCGGAGCAGAAGCTATAAAAGACGGGATGTTGAGAAAAGATACCAGTAAGTGGAAGCTCACCTGCTAAATCACCTTGTACTTATACCTCCCATGAAGACTCACAAGGATGAGCAGAAATGAATTTGCAGAATGGCCCTTAACTTTTCTAAGCCGTGCAACAGGTGTTACTCCTTCCTATCCTCTCAATAGCTCTAAGATGCAGGGCAAGTGATGTTACTCACAATGAACAGAGGAGAAAACTCATCACATTGTGACTTGCTTAGAGCCAAGGAGTAGCAGAGCTGGGGCCAGAATTCAGAGCTCCCCATCCCTAGAATTGTTCCCTTTCCATGAAGATGTTTCTGTAGTGATAGGAGAGACTCAGGCTACCAGGTCAGCCAACAACACACACATTAATTAATGGCAAAAGTAGGGAAATGAGAGAAGGGAAAATAAGTTGGAGACAAAAGCCTAGCTCAACTTTTGTTGGTTTTTTTTTTTTTTTTTCCATTTTTTATTCTGGGAAGCTTGAAAGATACCTAAGATGCAGTAAACCTCCAAGTGCACTACACCCACCTAAATTATCACCAACTCATGCCACTCTTGGGAAACCCAGTTCTCTTGTCTCCCCAGATGTCCAGTATGGCAGGTGAGAATGAAACAATCACTATGGCCCCCACACCTGCCCCAGAATTCCTCACAGGCCACAGAGGTCAGTAGAGTGGGAGCTGTGGGTAAGATAGGAGGATAAAAGAAGGCACAGGCTTAGGGCCTGTGAGCAGAGAAAATACAAATCAGAGACCAGAAAGATGTCTCTGAGAAGTGTAGGATTTGACCAGAAACAGATTAAATTATAGTCAATCAACTTACACTAAATGATTTCTATGTGTAAGGTTGGGGACATAAAGATGAATAAAAATCCTGTGGCTTTCAAGGCCCAGGTCTACAGACTGAATATCCTGACGCTTTCCTGCAAAAGGGGCCTATCAACTCAAGGGCTTACAAGAGAGGTCAGAGGGCACTGTGGGAGGCATGAGAATATAAAGGGGACTCTGGCATGAGTGTAATTTCCATTGGGCTCTCCCACGTCACCTCACCATGGTTCACACACTGAGTGTGAGCACCTTTTGTGACATCTGCTTGCTAGTGATGGGCTGCCACTATCTTCTGAAAGTGGTACTCTAGACTAGGGGGACCACATGCCAATTATGGGCAAGTAAGGGGAGATCTTTCTGGGGATGAGCTGGGAAAACGGTATGAGCACGCATGTGCACATCTCTGTCTCAGCACTGTCATATGATCATGCCAACAGCATGCATTTTACCTATTTTGGGTGCCCAGTGCCACATTTCCCAACATTGGAGGAAACAAAGGAAAGGTGCACATATCTCAAACCTTCAATGCTCTAAATACCAACAAAGGGGGCCGGGGTCCAGGAGCAGCATGCCTTGAGAACCAAGCCAGTCAAGTAAAACAGCAGAGCTAGTATCTAAGAGCCCATGTTCTGGCACCCAGAGATGGGCTTGACTAGTGGTTCAGGCACTAATTAAGCATCATGTAACGACAGGGATACGTTCTCAGAAATTGTCTCTAGGGATTTCATCGTTGTGTGAAACTCACAGAGTGTAATTACGCAAACTGAAATGCTACAGCCCCATCCACACCTAGGCCACATGGTGCAGCTACTGGGAATACCACCAAGGATGACCAAAACATTTATTTGCTTAACTTCTCTGTGCCTCAGTTCCATTTTTCAAATCGACAGCAATAATAGTTGAAAAGGAAGCAACCATATTAGGTTGAACCCTATGAAGCTATCAACATTTAACCATTTCATATCCTTCAAAAATAGCAGTTTCAGAGATCACAGAAGTTGAAGCTTTTTGAGAACTGAAAGAGCTATTACAAAAGCTTAGCTTAATAAATGAGAGCTACACCATCAACAAACAAAAGGCAAACCGACATTGCCCTGGGCATAAGATGTGGCCCATAAAGGTGATCGCCACCAGAAATTATTTATGTCTTTACTTTTTAATATGGAACAAGAGCACAGAGTGCAAAGTAAGGTTCTGACCATCCCTGCAGCTCAGCCACAGCTCAGCCACAGCATTCATATGTGGGGTACATACACCCACCCCCACACAACTGGTGGCTGTACTTGCTGTGCCTAGCAATATAACTTTGCCATCTTCCTACATCAACATGTGCTCCTGCTTCCCTCTATGATTTTGAACAGCTTTATTGTAGTCACTGTGTGGTTAGGACATGATTTTATTTGACAGACATTGGGTTGTTTGAAACCTTCTGCGCTACATCACTTCTTACGCATCAGAGTCTATCTGAAGGTGAATGTTTCAGAAATGAAATTGTAGGGTTAAAAGATGCCCATTTTAAATGGCCACACACACAAACCGCCCTCCCCTCAGGCTATTCTAATTTGCACTCCAGCCAGCAATATGCGCCTGTGTCCCCAGGAAAGAGGTGAGTTTCCACCTAGTTTTTCACAGAAGGGAGAAACCGCTCAGCTGGATTGCCCAGAGATTGCAGGATGGTGGCTCAGCCACTTTGAAGTCACCTGGACCAAGAGTGAGGCAATTCTGGCACTTTCAAGTGGGCATGTTTACAGCATTCTTCAAACCAGGAGCAGATTCCCCACACGGATACGCAGCCTCATAGAGAGAAGACACGAGCAAAGAGGAGCAGGGCAGGGGGCAGCAGAGGGGGAAAGACAATCTTGCCCTGGTAGCTGGTGAGCTCTGAGAAAGGCAAAAGAGGCACCACGTTTTCACAAATTGTCAATTTCAATGAGTTTGGGCCACCGGTTGCACTGCACTATACCCCAGCTGAGCAAACCCCCCTCGGTCACCTATGAGAGGAGGGGGTGGCAGCGAGTGGAGCAAATGCAACCATTTGGAATCTAGAAGGCTTGGGTTTGAGTCTGGCCTTTTCCCACGTTTAGACATATGACCTTGGAAAAATCACCATTTTTCTAAGTCTGTTTCCTCTTTTGTAAAAAGGGGATAATGACATGCAGAAACAGTGGACTGATGTTCCACAAAGTGTTAAATGATGTTACCACCTACACATAAGGAGTCACACAGACGATCCAAAAAGTTTGATGAAGGAATCAACGACTTTCCACAGAAATTGTTATTATAATGATCAGAAGTTTTGGCTGGAACTCCAGAAGCGTTTTACGAGGTGGAGTCACAGTAAAAGTTTATGGAGCTGTCCTGCCAGGGAAAATCCAAAAGGGAGCGGCTTCTACGCCCAGGTGAGGGTCTTCGCTACCTCTGCCGCCCCCACGCAGGCCCTGATTCCTAGCTAAGGTTTCTAAGACACAAAGATCCTGGTGTCATGCGGCGCCCAACTTGTTTCTTTCTTTTTCTTTTTCTTTTCTTTTTTTTTTTTTTTTTCCTGCTTGGCTGACCTGCCTGTAGGAGTCGATCCCGACCCACAAGGACCTCTAAGTGAACCACCGAGAAATCACAGGCAACCCCAGAAGGGATAACCAGAGATGGGGTGCTAAAGGGGCTAAAGGGGTGCTAAAGGGGACACGCGTGCTCCGAGGGCCCTTGCAGGGAGCAGCTGGATCAAGCCGGTCCCACACTCCGCGTCCTCCCCGAGCAGGCTACTCCTCGCCTCCCGGGGCGAGTCCCCCAGAGCACCCCACGATCCAGGCGCTCCCAGCCGCTGGGGCTCGTTGGCAGGTAGGGAGGCACCTGCTCCAGAAATCGCCCTCCGGCCTGGGGGAGCCGGTCCTCTTCGCCCAGCCTCCCGGGCCGGCGCACCCCGCCGCCCCAGCTCATCCCTGCCAGTGCGGCCCCCGGGGCCACTCACCTCCAGCGAGCTCGCGGCCGTGCCCGCCGCGCCCCGGGCACTCGCGCGCCCCGAGAGCGCGTCCGCCGCTGACCTTGCGTCGAAGCCGCCCGAGTCCGCGGCGGCCGCCGGGTCTCCGCTCCCCGGCAGCAGGGGTCGGGGCAGGCGGGGCGGGGCCCGGCCGGGAGAGGCGCCCGCAGGCTCGCCGCACAAAGCCGAGCCTCGCCTCGCTGCGCCCCATTCAACGCTCGGCCGCGCTCCCTCCGCCCCCTCGCGCTCCCCGCGGCTCCTTAAAGGCAGCGCGCCGGCCGCGCTCTCCGCGCGGCTCGCGGACGGGCACAGGAAATGACCTCAGCAGGCTCCAGCCCCCCACCTCTCCGCACCGCGGGGACCGCGCCCCGCGCGCCGGGGTCCCGGGCGCAGACCCTGCGCTCTCTGCGGAGGCCGCCCCGGCTGCCCCGAGGGCCGGCTGGGGCGCCCGGGATTGCTCCGCTCCAGCCCGCGGGGGACCCTCGCGCGCCAGGGCGCAGGACCAGACCCTGCCCCCCCAAAGGAGGTCCCAGCATGTGGCTGGCGACCTGTAGGAACTGCTACGCCCGCAGATCTGCAGCAGAAGTTCTTATTGCAATAGTCTGTCCCACTGGCCCACCAATGTTCTGAGCGCGATTTTTAAAAATGTCACCGTAGCCAGAGGGTAACTTGCTGGGGGTGGGGGGTGAGGGTGGGGGGTCTTGTTAAGGAGAGGGCCAAGGAGCCAGCAAGGCAAATAGCTTGCAAGACAGTCTGCAGCGGATCCTTATTCATCAAGGGCTGTGCAGTCCCTTGGCTTCCCTGTCTAAACCTACACCCAGAAGAGCTGGAACATTCAACTTTTGGTCCAGTGGATGTGGAATAAAGATGAAATGGAGGCTATTGCAGGGAAGGACTTGTGTTTCAAAACAGCGTTCCTCCCCTCCCCCAATCCTGCAGGCTCTTAGTCTACCGCTGAGCAGCAAACAAGGCCCGTTTCTCCAAAGAGACTTAGAAATCTCACCCAGCCTTGCTAAAGAATACCCTGGCTCCGCCCCAGGTTTGAATCTCAGTCTCTGGAGGTGAGGCTGGGAAATTGCCAGGCTAACAAGCTCCCTGGGTAATTCTTAAGGACAATTTTGAGAGCCCAAACGCTTGGGCCCAAGTGGTTCTGGAGGTCGAGAGTGAAAGTTCAAAGGGCCAATGAGACTCCAGGAGCTGAATCTGCAAATGAAATCAGAGCTCCTGGAGGTGAGGATAGATCAGACCCAAACTGGGACTCAGGCCTCTGCTATCTCCTCCAACATTTTGGAAGTTGCCTCAAGAAGCCAATAGCAAGTCCTCAAATTTGTTACCAATTCCTTCCTCTCTCCTCCCTCCCTCCCTCCCTACCTCCCGTCAGCTTGAATAGGTCGTCATGCATATAGCATAAATTACGAATAATACAGAAGAGATAACCATGGAAAGTGTGAAAGTGTGTCATGGAAAGTGTGAAAGTGTGTCTTCCTCTTACATTGTCCCTCCTCTTCCAGATCACTCTTCCCCAAACACAACAGCTATTAAAAGTTTTTTTGTATATCCTTTCTAGATATTCTAGACATGCATAAGTATCCATGCATTCATAAATGCATGTGTCCATGTATATATAGTCATGCATACATGTTCCTATTCCCCTTGACCACTTGCTTTTTTCTCTTGACCATTTGGGTTTTATTTTAAGATTTATATATTTATGTAAGAACTGAAGTACAGGCCAGAGGTGTGGGGAGGGGGCTGAGAGGATTCACCAGAGACAGAGTGGGGAACAGAACAGGCAGATGGACTGAAACACCCTGCTAAGGGGAGCAGCGGGCGAGACAGGAGAGGTCTGTACCGTGTAGGTCAGCTCCCTGGCAGGGGATGGAACTTGTGCTTCAGTGGCTGTGGATAGCTTCATAGTGCTGCGTCTTAACCCCTTGCTCCCCCGGCGAGGACCCTCTTGACCATTTGTTAACTCTAAGTGTGACATGTTGGCATGTTAAAGATGCCTCACTTTTTGAAATGATTCCCTAATATTCCTAATTATGGATATGGAGGGTGTTTCCAATCTTTGGCTACTAGATACCTTTCCACAATGAACAATTGTACATACTTCTTCGTCCACATATATAACTATCTATGGTTAAAAGTTAGAAGTAGAATTGCTGGCTATAAACAGAATGTGATTTTAAATTTCAGTAGATTCTACCAATGGCCCTCAAAGGAGACTGCATCACCCTACATTTCTATCAGTTGTGTGTGTGTGAGTGCCCTGCAATCCCTTCCACCTGTGTGTGATGAATTGCTTTATCACAAAGTACAAAGCTTTTAGAAAGGGAGGACTAAATGAATTCATATGCATGGACAATTTTCAAACACAGCTAGCGCACAGGCTCTAGAAGGCTCTGGAAAGAAGGCTCTAGAAGGCTCTGGCCTCCTATTGCTCTCCCCCCTGTGACCTCTCCCAGGCTCGGGCTGTGTTTCAGCCCCAGCTCTGTAAACTTGGGCTAATTCCTCACCCTCTCTGGGGCTTAAGTTTCCTTATATTTAATATGAGAATCTGTGGGTGTAGTGTACAAGGCTCTTTTCAAGTTAGATAAGAGCAGGATGCTTGATCGCCCTGGGGCAACAGGTATACAACTTGAGGTATGACTAGGAATGCCCAGAGGGGAGCTGTTGATTGATGTGCTTTGCACCCCAGGAACTGATCAGTGGAGAACCTTGTTCATAAGATTGGAGCCATGGGTGTGGGTCAGGAGAATATCAGTGGATTCACTGTCCCTAAAGCCAAAATCCAGTATTCAGTTTGACCCACCCTTTTCTCTGTCAATAAAAAGGCCAGGATCTTGCTCTTGAGCAGTGTCCTGCATCCCATGGCCTGCTCCACGACTCCTGTTTCTTTTCTTTACAGTACAGTATTGCTGACGCAACAAAAGTCATAATGTCTTTCCCTGGAATTGGTTTGAGGATGAAATCAGATAATGGAGTTTCATAAATTTGGGGTTCCAGTCATTTATTAGTGACAGTTATTTTTCTTCCCTCAAACTTTCCCACCTAATTTTTTATTTTGAAAATTACAAATGCATAGAAGTTGCAAAAAATTATGTTAAACATCCATATACACTTTGCCAAGATTTACCAAATTTTAACATATTGCCAGATTTGCTTTCTCTCCCCCCATATATTTATATGTATATTTATAAATGAACCATTTGAGAGCTAGTTGTACACATAAACTTACACCACTAAATACTTCTTCTTTTTAAAAGATTTATTTATTTATGCATACAAGAACTGGGGTACAGGCCAGAGGTGTGAGGGGTGAAATGATTCACCAAAGACGGAGTGGGGAACAGAATAGGCAGATTGACTGAAACACACTGCTGAGGGGAGCAGCAGGCGAGACAGGAGAGGTCTGCTGCACCATGTGGGCAGCTTCCTGGCTGGGCATCGAACTCATGCTGCAGTGACTGCAGACAGCCTCATAGGTTGCGTCTTGACCCCTTGCACCACCAGAGAGGCCCCCCCAAATACTTCAACTTGTACCTCCCAAAAACAAGATGTTCTAATATTATCACACTATGAAAATTTAGTATCAATACAATGCTATCATCTATAAAAAGCTCATATTCAACTTTCCCCGTTTGTCCCAATAATATCTTTATGGATCTGTTTTATATCTCTTTATGTATTTTATAATCTCTTTATTATTATTAGTCCCTATCCAGTGCTTCTAGGGAGAATGGGTTGCCTGAGTAGATTGGGCTCTCCTCCCCACTCCAGGGAAACAGTGACTATAATGGCCCTAGAGCCTCACTTTCATGGGGAGGGGGTGGAGTGGGAAGGGAGCTTCAGGTAATCAATAACCAGCAGGGATGTTCACAAACAGAGCAGTTTCCCATAATGCTAGGGACTGACCCAGCAATCTTCTCTGCTAAAGTTGCCTCCTCTGCCTGACCCTAGTCACCTCATGCTGGCAGCCCAGGGAAGGTCCTGCTGATCTCCCCCACCTCTGGTTGGGTTTCTGTGCCTCCTCCATCCCCCATTGGTCCCCAGTCAGCACAGGCAATAGTCTGGGCTCCTTCATTTCCCTTAACTATAGCTCCCCATGCCATTCCATTTCAGGGATAAATACCTGTTACCTCCAGGCTGGCTCACCCTTAACTTAACCCTGGTATTAAGGATTGGGATGTCTCAGACACTGTCTTTTCCCCACTTTTTTTTTTTTTTTTTTGTCTTAAGACACATTCCATGTAACACTCCATGGAGCTGAGACTGAGAGTCAAACTGTGGTCAAATCCAGAGAAAACCAGCAGTTATGTCCACATCTTTCTCTTCTCCCCTCTGTATTTTCCATTCATTCATCCATCCATCCATCCATCCATGAGAGCTGACTTTTAAGTTATTCCAGGAGCTCTAATAGATGCCCCTGACTAGAAGCTTAGAGAAGTCACCTCTTTGTTTTCTACCTCTGCTTGTCCTGTTGGAAAATGGAGGAAGGATTTCCTTGGCAGAGCTACCTTTCAGCTCTGAATATTCGAGAGTTGGAGGAGAAGCCAGGACTATGAGGGAGCCACAACAGCAGAGGGGGACTTTGCAAAGCTGAAGTAAAGAAAATGCCATCACGGGTGCCAGCTCTCTTGGCTAGGGTGGGAGCTGGGTGCGTCCTGGCTGGAGTGGGAGCTGGGGTGTTCAGGAGCCTGCTGGCAAGGATCCCTGGAGAAATGGCACCCACCACATGGAAAGCTCATTTCTTTTTGATGTTATCTCCTTATCACAAGTACCCTAAGCTGGAGAGTGGAGAATGGAGCAGAGAGAGGGGAGAAGGTCATCATGTACCCAGAATGGAAGGGTCAGCGGGGCTGTTGAAGCTGAGGACCCCCTTTTACTCTTCTGAGAAGAGGCTGAGGCCTGAGTGGGTGTCCATTGGGAAGACTCTAAACCAACTTAGCTCTTCGGTGATTGCAGGTTCTTATATTAGCAGCCAGTGGAGGTGAGAAATAAGTGGGAGGTCTTCATATTCTCTCCCATAAACTCTACAGGCGGGATATTAAAAATGGTCAAGGGCCAAATCTGCCAATGTATGAACATTTTTTAGCAAGC